AGTAAAAGAATATGTACTTAGCAGTTTCATGTAATTAGCCATTTACTCTGTTGTATCAATAATTCTGCACTAATAGATCTGCACTAGTGGGCAGACCAAATATTTAGAAACTTTCTGTCAGAGGCGGAAAGGAATTGAAGTAAGCCTTAAGTTCAAAATAAAGTGAACGAGTAAATCTCTTAATGTAAATATTTAGTTACTGGTTCCGCAAAATATAATTTTTATGTTTTATTTATTTAGCCGACATTTTTATCCAAAACGACATACATTTTGAGAAAGCAGGGTCACACGGTCCCTGGATCACTCATGACATCACACCGCTCTCCCTGGGATTTGAACAGGCAACTTTCCCAACACAGGCAAAGGACCCTAACCCAATGAGACACACACCAATAAGCTCTATTCTTTACTTAAAACCAGTATTATTTGGACCCAGAGCTAGGAAATATTTCCCAAGTAAAAGCCTTCAGAAATGCTAAAGTCTCTATATCTACTTTGTGACCAGGGTTGCTTTGCTAAACAACCACCTGTTGTTGACTATGCAGCTGCCACTGCAACTCTTGCAGTCTTTTTTTTTTTTACTGTTAACCTTTCACTGCCTGGTAAATGAACATCAGGATTGGGTCGTAGATTTTTAGGTGTGAGAGTCACTCATGCCTGTAAAGCACTAAGGGAGCCATTGTCCATGTCATGTGTTTTGATGTGGCCAATCATGTTCTTCCACTTCCAGGTTGCTACAACTGCTGTATGCGCTGCCTAGGGGGCATCCCATATACCTCCTTGGTGGCCACACTCATGTGCTTCTCGGGCGTGGCGCTGTTCTGCGGATGTGGGCACCAGGCGCTGACTGAAACTGAGAGGCTCATTGAGTATTACTTTGCCCGCAACCTGCAGGATTACATCACCTTGGCCTACATGTCAGTCCCGCCCCCTAATGCCATTCATTCATCTCCATTACATGAGTTGGAGCCTAATACAGAAAAGGCTTACTTGAAATGATGCCCGTTTGATAATATGCACATGATACAGGCTGTAATCCCTTCTCTCCTTCTATCCCTTACAGAATACAATACTTCCAGTACATCATCTATGCCCTGGCCTCCTTCTTCTTCCTGTACTGCATTTTGCTGCTGGCTGAGGGCTTTTATACCACCAGTGCTGCCAAGCAGACCTTTGGGGAGTTTCGGAGCACCGTCTGCGGCCGCTGCCTCGGCACCACGGTGAGGGGCTTTGGGGGATTGTGGGTAATAAGGCTGTAGGAAGGTGAAAGCTATTGAATGGTTTTAATGTCCTCAATCCCCCTCCATGCATTCTGAGTAAAATGGACACCAGGATACAAAGTCACGCACCCGTGCACCTCCATTTCCATAGTAATACCGGGGGGGAGGAGAGACAGGACGGGCAAGGCAGGTGATTGGCTGGGGACTCTGAGCCAGACTGATTACATAGTACATTCCAACAACAAATCTGCATTTTTTTGTGTATTCTGTTTTTCACCGTAAAGTGAAAATAAAGGAATTCTGTTTATTAAACTCTCTGTTGATTTTTATTTATGTATTTAGACTTCACGCTAAAATAATGGTCATAAATTTGACCATGTTGGGTGGGGTGTGTTGGAGGCCCACATGGAGTTTGTCCCCGAGGCCCCCCAGTGTCACTGGAATCACCGCTGGGTAATGCGCCGTGCCTCTGCTCCGCCCACAGTTCATTGCTGTGACATACGCCTTGGCCGTCCTCTGGTTGGTGGTGTACGCCTTCTCCGCCCTCCCCGTTTTCTTCTTCTACAACATGGCCTCCACCTGCCACATCATCGACGAGCTGTCCGACTCAACCTCAAACATCAACCAGCTTTGCATCGACGCCAGACAATATGGTACCACAATCGGCACTGCTGTCATTTCTCACTTCCAGGAGTGACTCCGACTCCCTGTTAGACTGCACACTCAGTTCTTATTACTTTATCCACAGCACTGAGACAAGGATTGAACTGATGTCAATATTGCAGTTTTGCAGCATCTTTGCCATCATAAGTTATGTTGTCATGCAGCCTCATAAAATCCTGGCCAGACTGTAAATAACGGGATGATCATACTGTAATCTGTTTCCCTCAGGACTGCTGCCCTGGAACGCAATGCCTGGAAAAGCTTGTGGAATGACGCTCTCGACCACTTGCAAAACGAAAGAGGTGAGGAAGTCTGTGCTGGCAAATCGTCTATGGAAAGTGACGAGTCAGCCGACACAGCACAGATGTCTGGGTCTTCGGTCACTGACTGCCTGCTTCCTTTTTCAGTTCCAGCTCACCTATGACTTGTTCATAGCTGCGTTTGCAGGAGCAGGAATCACACTACTGGCCCTGGTGAGTAAAACTCAGACGACACACATTCCACTCCCGGGTACCACGGTGACGTGGCATGTGACCAATCCTGTGTAGGTGGACAATAATGTCAAGCCCTTTATTTGCTGACTGGGGCCTCTGTTCTCTCACTCTCAGCTCTGTTACTACATTACAGTCTGAATATCAACAGCCCAACATGCTTCCTCAAAGAATCTCTTGAATGTAAAAGTGAATGTTGTGCATTTTTTCTGACGCTTTTATCCAATGTGACTTACAGTGGAAGAAAGGAGTACAATTTATATGTGCTGCCTGGGATTTGAACCCATGACCTTTGCGTTGCCATAATGCTCTTCTTGTTGAGCTATGGGATTTATTGGGAGAATCTACACTGACGTCAGATTTAAAAGACTTTTACCTGATAGTTTTGCTGTAATATTTATTGAACAGTCAATGTATGGGTAGGTCTAGAAATATGCTATATATTTAATATAATACCCAAAGTTTTCAGTAACAGTTTCAGATTGTCTTCTCACTGTGCATGCAGTACTGTTTGGTAAGCACTTTTTCCTGAAACTGTTCTCTCTCTCTCTCTCTCTCTCTCTCTCTCTTTCGTGTTCTGTAGCTCACGTATGTGATGTCCACCACCTATAACTTTGCGGTGCTGCGGTATCTGGGCAGGAAGGGCATAGGTATGCACTGTTAGACTCCTGGTCCTCCCACCTCTGTCCTCTCATCCATTGTCTCTATAGTGAAGCAGAAACTGGAATCCTTTGGAGTACAAAGGCAGCCCCACACCCACCCCCCATTCCATTTCGGAACACACTGTAGACTATGATTTTCATTTTTCCAGAAAGAGGGACAGGGGAAAAGTAGCTCTCATTTTCAGCTGAAATTGCATCTGAATTGACTTGTATCCTCTGTCACTTTAATCCACATAACACCCCTTCTGGAAATTGTCTGCTTCTGATGGAGGGTGATACTGGGGGGGGTCTCTTACCTCCTGTTTTCAGTATTGCTGCTTTTTTCTGTCTTTGTTTTTTTTTTAACAGACGGTCTGAATTTGTAAAATGCATAATTAAATTAACTATTATTTGGTTTGCTTACTTTTGAATGGTCTTTATTTTGCTTATATGGTATCACCAAATAGCGTCTCTCGATGTTTAAGTAACCTTCATTTCATTCCAGAATGTACTGTAATGAATTCCAACTGACTATAAAGTAAATAACAGATTATCTCAATCCGATTTAATGACCTGCGCCAATATGGACACGTCCAGAATTCCAGAAAAAATGACAAAGTAATGAACTCTGGTAGCCTTGGGACCAGTCGCACCCTGTTTCCATAGCACCAGACAAGCCTCTGCTGGCAGTTTCATCCTGATTCCCCCCCGGGTCATTTCTTAAAGCTGCTATAAAATAGAACGATCCATTAGAAAAAAGCTTTGGATGAAATGCTTTGCTCTCTTCGGCTATTTGGTGATATGGAACGCTAGAATTCAGGCGGATGGAAACTGGAGTGTATGTAGGCTGTGAGCTCGCAGTGCGATGTGTTACACTGGTGTGTGGGCAAGCTTAAAAAAAGGACACATTTATTTTGGTTTCTTCGAATATTTACTGCCACGGATTGCTAGATTTGGTGACCTTTCACCTTACAGCGTGAGCTGCTGACTGTGCCAGTGTGTCATTTCCCATCCAGGTCCATTGTGGTTTTAGGTTTTTTTATTGAATTCCTACTAGTAGAGATGGATGGTGACCAAACTACGTGTGGATTTTGTGACTGATGTAAAGACAACAGCAGTCTGTGTGTGTGAGCTGTAGAAAATGCATTTGATGGGTGCAATATTTTCTCTGATGAGATGTACACTAATGCAAAGCATTAAAGCTGGACTGTCACTCTCATCATGACTCGCTGTAATCCTGATCATGTGACCAGTTTAACCACATGCCAGCTGGCTTATGATATGTAGTAATGTAATTGGCTGTAACTATTTCACTTCTCTAAAATGCACTCCAGCATTCAGACGTCAGGAAATGGGTAGCGGTTGCCTGTGTTGGGTAGCGGTGGAGCCCCCTGTGCAAAGGTCTTCATCTTCCTTTGCAGCTGTACGGCTTCCTGCACCTGGCAACCATGCGGCTCTACTTGAGGGAGCGGCGGCGCAAACACAAGGCTGAATTTGTGGACCTTAACCTCTTCGGAACACCTGTTATGGATTGGAAAAGGGGTCTCTCTTCTCCCTATGGGGCACCTGATCAAGAGCTGTGAAAGCTCCAAAGCATGCTGGGAAAGGATTCTACCTTTGTAGGAGTCTGGGGTTCTCTGCAGGTCGCAGGAAATGTGAGACTGTTGAAGTGCAAAGCCACAGTGTCCAGTTTATCGTTTTCAGCCAGTGCCACTAGAGGGCGATACATTACCATTTACAAAAACACCGATCCCTTGGTTATCCGCTATATGAATTTTCCAACGTCGCACTAAATATGTAAATAGAAATTTAGTACTACTTTGTTTTCTGTAGTGGCCTAAAAATGCTGCCAGAATGAGTTAAAATATTAAATAGCTGCTTTACGAAAGTTATGAATCCATTTGTACTTCTGTTTAAATGTATTGAATAATGGAGGTTTAAGCAATTCATTGCATTGTTCCTTTAATTAAAAATACCAACCATACTACTTTCATTTCATTTATTTAGTTTGGTTTGTAAACAGCCTAAATGTATCTGACTCTGTGTGACAGAGCACATCTTTCTACCCCCCTAAACTGACCCACAGAAAAATTAACAGCAATTCAGTTTTGTGGGGTAATGCTTCATGGTACTGCAAGCCATTTTCACAACTATAAATTTCTTTCTTAGGTGCTTCACACATAGACAACTGTAGTATAATGGAAAAATGCATTTGCAGGGATAAAATACTACAGTATCACTGGCATAATAAAAACATGGAAATCTTTTACATATTATGTGGTACATAAAATCACAAGATTTCATATGTATTTCAAGTCTTCACAATTGCATTGTTAATTTGTATATTTAGGTTCAGTTTATTACTGAGATATTTACAACTTACAAAGCATAATACAGAGTAAGTAACAAGACCCATTACTGCCTCATTTGTTTCCATAAATTCAAGTAAACGCTCAACCAATGTACCCTTTAATACAGAGGCAACTCGTACAAGTAACCAGTGACATCCCCAACACTGAATCCATGACAATTATCACAGTATTAAAAGTGAAATATACCATCAGTAATTTCCCAAGAAACACTATATTCAATTTACTCTCCATTTAATTTCCAAAAGCATATCTCTCATAACCTGTGGATACGGTCTTTTAATCACGTGCTCCCTCCTCTTTTCACAGTGTACACAACGCCAGTAATCTGCACACGCCAAACGTTTAATTGTAACAAGGGAAAACAAACTTTTATACAGACACACACAAAAAGTCAATACTAAAAATGGTGAAGCGCGAGGACAAATGAAGAGAAATGCACTTCATTAAAGCAAAGTAGTGCTTTTGTACCTACAATAGAAAGGAATTAATGAACTCATAAAATAAACCCGTTGGCTGAGCGGACACCACCCTAAAACAAAAAAAAACGCAAGATACTGCTATTAACGAGCGGAATCTCAGGTGATGAGGCAAACAGATCCAGTTGCTCATATGTGATGGAGGACATCACCCAAACATGTGGCACTACACTTTATATTCTCTTTTACATATGAAACTTCACCTCAATGAACGGTCTTCCAGAATATATGGAGAATATATGGAAAACCAGAAAACTGGCACACCTGCATGAAGTACCATTATTTCTGTACCATTTTAGATTTCAATTCAATTACTTTCTTGCTCACATATCACGTAAAGAGCAAATATTTACAGTTTTACAATTCAGACATACATTTTCCCTTTACATTTATATTTTATTCATGTACGGAGGAATTTAAGTGCCTTTTAGGGTGCAATATTTGTGCCCCCTAGACCTGAGCTTGCAAACGTCCTACATGCAGCACAGTCCCGTAACTGCTGTGCCACACTGCTCCTTCCATTAACTTAATGGACGCAATGGTCCATCATGCTTTTATAGTCAGATCCTAATACTTGTGTAATACTGGTCCTCACCACATCTCACAATGGCTGTATGGATGCAATTATGTCAACCAATCATAATCCACCATCACAGCACAGCTCACATAACCCAGAGTAAACCAAATGCTTACATCATACCCTTCACTTCTACAGTTCCCTTCATGCCTAAAAATGCCCAATCACATAAATCTACTGTACAAGGTTTCCATACTTCATTTTATGAACAAACAAGGTTGAATCTTTTCATTACAATACCGTAGTTAAAATTACAGAGGTAAGTTTTCATTTTTCACCCAGACATACTGTAAATTTTCTGATGCGATTCAGACCGAGTACCTTCTCCAGGGGCTTGGTTTTTATTTACACTAAGCTACCTGCTGCCCCGTTTGCGCCAATTCACACTATGTCACCGTTTGCTACATTTACGGGCGTCGGCTCGATGGGCGTGTAATGACGCACAAGCCGACATTTGTAACAGCATCTTTGTACAGCCAGGGGAAAAAAATCTGTAGCAGCACAGGGGAAAGATGGTGAAGTGGTGCAGCATTTACAGAGAGAAATGCACACTTGTAGCCAGGGGCCATGAGAGAGCAGCAGCCGGTGTGTGTGTACGCCTCACCACCAGCCGCAGTGCAGCTCCTAACCTCGCTAAGCCCCATTACATCCTACCCTGCTGCCCCTGTCTGTCACTCACAATCAGGCCGACACACGCACTGCCACTCCCTGCCATGCAAGCAGCAAAAAGCACTCATGCTGCGGCAAAAATACTTAAGGAAACATCTGAGTAGACATATCGAAAGAAATACCTCCACTGTCTTCACTGTCAAAATGTTGTTTTAAAAGAGTAAAGGGGGCCCCAATTACAAATATGTCCCTGAAAAATGTCAGTTTCCCATTTTTCTCCAATAAACACCCAAAAGCACAAAACAAGTGTAGCATAAATACAGTACCTTCATAGTTAACCGATTTTCATCATTAAACGAGTCACGAACAGGTGTAGACACAGCTACAGATTACTAAACAAAAACTCATGGCAACCAAGTCACATTTACCGCAGGATTACACAGAGGCAGCTCACCAATTTCACTTCTCTTTATGTCCCCCCCCCCCCTCACCACCACCTGCAGAAAAATGACAGTCCTATGAACAGACAGGTGATCTGTTAGGCTGATGCAATATTTTTTCACTTTTTAAAGGGAATCTTTGAATGAGAACGCAAACCACTCTGTGTTCCTCTGCCAAGCTGTGCTTTTTCAAGGAGGCAGCGTCACGGCACTGGAGAGTGAGGAACCAGCGTGTTAAATAACCTGCACACCTGCAGCCCTCCCCACCACCACCACCACCACGACCACCACTAACGCCACAGGCACCTGGGAGGCTGACAAGAGAGACAAAGGGACGCAGTTAGACTAGGACCCCACATCCCGCCGGACGCGGAGAAACCAGGATGGTACCAAGTGCACAACAGTCCGTTCGGATCATGCCTCAGAACCACCCTTCCCAGCTCGAGCCCCTGCCTGCGGCTCAGAGGCTGGTCTCAAGCTCACATGACGCAAGCGGATATGTAAGCCGGGGGTGGGGGGGAAGCAATAGGACTCAGCAGCAGGATGAGCGCGGGGCCTTGCGGTTGCCGTGGAGATCTATGGCGCTGCTGAGTAGCGCGTGGTCCAGCTGCTCCTCCCCTGCCAGGACCTCGCGCACGGCAGCCTCAAACGCCGCGCCCACGTTGGTATCGTCCTTGGCACTGGTCTCGAAGTACGGGCAGCACCCGTTCTCCTGACACCAGGCTCGTGCCTCCTCCTCCCCCACCTCCCTCTCCGGGCCTTTGTCCACCTTGTTGCCCAAGACCACGAAGGGGAAGCGCTCTGGGTCCCTCACGTCTGAGTAGTACATGAACTCCTTCTTCCAGCAGCCCAGGTTGCGGAAACTCTGCAGATCGTCCACGGCGAAGGTCAGCAAGCAGCAGTCCGCACCCCGGTAGAATGGCGTGCGCAGGCTCTTGAAGCGCTCCTGCCCAGCCGTGTCCCAGATCTGCAGGGTGACCAGGCGGCCGTCCACCTCCAAGTCCCTGTTGAGGAACTCCACGCCGATGGTGTGGTAGGACTGCGAGTCGAACCGGTCCGTCACATAGCGATTCATCAGGGAGCTCTTGCCTACTCCCCCATCGCCAAGGAGAATCACCTTCAGCAGCAGGCTCTTCCCACTCATGATGACACTGACTGACAGACCCGCTGGCTCAGCGCCACCTGGACAGAGAGTTCGCGGGACACTTAATTTGGTACTGCTTGTAACAATTTACACTCAGGAACGCAGCTCTGACATGGCAGGTTCTACGTATCGGAGAACAATGGAGCACTGAAGCGGGAATAGGGATCTGAAACTGATTTCGTATTCTGATCGTGTTTGAGATGCGCAAGTAGGCTACCACATATCATTTTCAAATGTTTGAACTGCCTGAAAATGCACACTTTCAGATTACACAAGTGACAGTTTAGTCAGGCGGCTAATGCAGAAGATGAGTCAGTATTTTATTATTTGTTTGCAGAGTACAAAGTGCGTCGCAGGGACCATCTGCCAGGATACAGTCGGCTTGCAGTTGCGCAAGCTCGTCACAGTCAGTTGATCCGTGTATGTGGCCATTACTGTGCTAATGCTGTGCTTGATATAAAACACAACGCTGACTAAATAACTAGCGAGCCACTGGGTGCAGCGGATTCTTCAAAGGACACTTTCATCACACTTACATCTCGCGATACATCGCGCAAGCGACTAACCGGCTAACATGCTAATTCGTATACAGCATCATTTACGCCGGATTCGTACATCGCACCAGGACTAAACATTACCTACAAATATATACCTGCGAAAGCCGTGTATACCACAGGAGCGCTCGGCGTGACGGCAAAAAGTTAAAGCTAAAAATCTAATTATTTACCTCATTCTGCCAAGCGATACTTGTGTCGTGGCGTGAACCACACTCTCAAACTGAGATTTCACGTGAACGCGCTGTTGCTGCGCGGCTCCAAACTCCAAGCGGAGTCGCGCATGCGCGGGCATTTCATGCACGCTACATGCTTGTTATACTAAAATAAAATGTATACTTTCAAGTAGTTTTCATATTTATCGTTGTGTATTAAAACAACACAGAACAAGAAATACAGCAAACAAATATAGCCACATGTCACCGCATTCACGTTTGACTCTTACCTTATTGAACGCTGCTTTTAAATATTTAGCGGATTTCAAATGTTTTCTCTAATAGCTGGAATAAGTGGACTTATTGGTCACCCTAAGATCTGGCAGCTTGGTTTAGAAATGTTCGCTGTTTTGTACTAGTATCTCTGCTGGTGACAGTGGTGAGTAATGCAGACCAGATCAGCAGTAATGTCCATCTCCTCAAGATATTTTATTATTGCAGACATAATTAGTAACATACGTTACTAAATTAACTAGACAGACAAGTTTAGCTTTTTTGATTATTTTTTTTCTGAGGCTGCTATATTTTAATAACAGGCGTATCAATACGGGTCCTTGTTTAGACTGACTATCGATCAGCTGAGCAAACATGCAGTAATACTGGTGAAACAGTTCACTTTGTGATATGGGGCTGGATCGAGAGGTTACAGATTAAGGTTCCGTGGAATCTTGCTGTGATGCGCTTAAATAAATGTCAAACTCCATTTAAGTCAATTTATGCAGCCCCGTTTCCAATTTTCCGTGACAAATCGGCAACTTAAACAAAAAAACGTGTCCGTTGCAACTGTTATGGATTTTTATATATTAAAGCAAGAAAGATGCGTTGTTTTTTCAAATGAAATATCAATAGTATAGGAAAAGCTGTAGGGCACGATATTTATTAGCCGTGCGTGATCGGTTTAGCTGAAATACCATTAAGGGATAATCCACAGATGCGGGACCGTTTTGCCAAACGTGTCCAATTACACGCAGTTGATTGTGCGCCCCCGGCGGACTCCGTCGGTACTGCAGGCGTAGCTTGGCTTTTCCCAGTAGAATCTCCCCTTCTCCTCACTTCCTGTTAGCTAGTACAGCAAACAGCTGGAAAGGATGGTGAGGGATATCTATCAGCCTTGAAATCGATGTAGCAATCTTATTTCTGAAAAGGTAGGAGACTGTATACCAAGCTGTCGCCCACGAAACGCCCGTGATTTTGAACTTATTTTCCCCAGGATCCGGCTGCGGCTGGCCGGCGTACCGCTATTCCCCACTGCCAGCAGTCACTAGCCTAGCCAGATATGTGAGCATCGCAGCTCTTTGGAGCGCAACTTTAAGTATAGTAGCTGTCTGACAGTCGTATACTTTAATCTAGTGATCGTCCTTAACGAATGCTTTTCTTCATGTCTTATACGGTTGCTGTATGTGAGATAGGCTTGACGTGGCGTTCACGTGGCTTCACTTTTACTAAGATTTGGCATTATTTTAATTTACACGAAAGATTTCCAAAGCTTAACCCCAAAAATAGTGAGTAGTACAAAATTGTATAAGATTTGTCGTTTCGTACTTATTTTACTCCCGCGAAGCTTCCTTTTGTCATTCAGTTTTTAAGTTGTTTACCTTTTTCAGTTAAAATTAGTAATTAGTGCGTACACATTGTGTTCTTTTTACCCAAGTACTTGTGCTTTCACTTGTGAATATGTTACTTTCCCAATGGTTTAAAATGTGTTTTGTAACGCACTCATTCTGCTTTGTGACCAAAGTAGACTTAATACACTACAAACCTCCAGGGCAGTTGATTCTGTTGTGCATGTAATGCAGGGAGCTTATCTATCTTTAAGCTGTATGGTATGTTTTTTGTGTCTTTTTGGAGAAACTGGAGGTGTATATCCTTTGATTCATTCAAACTTTACAGAGGTTTATGTGTTTCAGAAATGGGATTGCAGGACAGGGCGATGGCCTCGCTGGGGCTCTGCTTACTATGGGCTGTACTGTCCCAGAGTCAGCAGCCCCTAGACCCAGAAGATCAGGAAGTCTTCCAGCCGCAGAGCACCCTTTCAGACATGGAGTTCACCACTGTGAGCTCATTCCGCGGCCCAGGCAACAATGACTCGCGCGGCAACAAGGAGCTCCCCATCTTGCTGTGGTGGACCGCAGGCCTTTTCCCGCATTTTCCCGGCGACACGGAGCGCATCGACTGCGCCCGCTCCTCGTGCATGGTCACGCGCCTCCGCAAGGTGCAGCTGCACCGCCGCACCACTGCCATCATCTTCTACGGCACTGACTTCCGGGCATATGAGGCGCCATTGCCCCGGTTGCCCCACCAGACGTGGGCGCTCTTCCACGAGGAGTCGCCGATGAACAACTACGTCCTGTCACACAGCCCCGGCATCCATTTCTTTAACTACAGCGCCACCTTCCGCCGGGAGTCTGACTACCCGCTCACGCTGCAGTGGCTGCCCACGCTCGACTACCTGCTGAGCCCGCCGGTGTTCTCGCTGCAGCAGAAGAACAAGTGGCGCAGGGCGGGTCTGGCCCCCGTGCTCTACATGCAGTCCCACTGCGACGTGCCCTCCGACCGGGATCGCTATGTCCGCGAGCTCATGAAGTACATAGAGGTAGCGTGGAAGCACCAGCAGCGAAGCAGTTACTCACACCAACTGTATTATTTCTCATGAATTTAGAGCCTCTATCTGTCCATACATCCATCCATCTTCCTACCACTTCTCTGCCATTTTCAGGCAGCACAACAGAGAGGAGCACTCCTGATGGGATGCTAGAAACTAAGGATGTTGCAGATCTATACTGAAATATCTATTTTTTTTTTCCAATCTGATTGTTTCATTTTGAGAATTGATTCTAATAATATTTCTTTATCTTACATCTTTTTTTCACCTGTAATTTAAATGTTTGTTATTGTAGATTGCAGAACATGAACCACTACCAGACAGGCTTTTAGGCGCTCAAACACTAGTGTGACTACATTGGTGGAACGATCCTCAGTGAGCAAATTTTATCATCGTATTGCATCGAATCAGGTAGAAAAATTCAGTGGTTTGGTCTGTCCCTGCGAGGGACTCACAGATGATACACACCATCACAAAAGTACTCGGAGGAAAGAAGCTTTTAAAACACACGGATGGAGCAAACTCATCCAGCATGGTCGCGGTGGCTTTGAACCTCCAACCCTGGAATTGTGAGGCAACAATGCTAATTTACAATGCTGCCCAATTCAAAGCATTTAAGAGTTCATATGTAGTTGCATAGTTGCTATGCTTTATAGAGCTGAATGGTAGCTAATCTTCAATAGTTCAATAGTAATGACCCCACTGAAAGTCAGAGGTCTTGTGTTCAGATTTTCACTGATGCCTCCTGTCACCTGATATAGCTGTCACTTCCTATCCAGCACATGCCCAGAGTAACCAGTAAGCTGTGCTCTGACTGTATGTCCCGCCCAGGTGGATTCCTACGGTCAGTGTCTGAACAACAAGCCTCTGCCGGAGCGTCTGGAGGACACGAGTACGGCCACGGGAGAGGATGCCGAGTTCATGAGCTTTGTGGCGCGCTACAAGTTCCACCTGGCCATGGAGAACGGCCTGTGCGCGGACTACATGACGGAGAAGCTGTGGCGGCCACTGCACCAGGGCTGTGTGCCCGTGTACCGGGGCTCCCCCTCTGTGGCGGACTGGCTACCCAGTGAGCCCTCCGCCGTTCTGGTCGATGACTTCCCCTCCCCCCGTGAGCTCGCCCAGTACCTGAAGGCACTAGACGGCGACGACGCGGAGTACGCCCGCTTCCTGGAGTACAAACTCCCTGGACGCGTTACCAACATCCGCCTGCTGGAGGCGATGCGGGACCGGGAGTGGGGAGTCAACGACATGAGCAGACCTAACTACCTCAATGGCTTCGAGTGCTTCGTGTGTGACCGGGAGAATGAGCGGCTGGCGGCCACACGGGCCCATCGCCGGGCTCCCAAGAAAAACCCCTTACCGCCGGCGAGGATGGCAAATAGCTCCCACATGGGCTGCCCCCTGCCCTCCCCCGGCTTTGGGAGCGTCGTTGACCTTCCCGCCAATGACAGGTGAGTCGGCCAAATCCGGCATCGTGTTTTGTGGCAGCTTACGACTCTTAGCTGAGGTAGGTGAATTCACACTCTACGTGGGAGGCCTTTGCATTGATAATTAATCCTGGGTTGGGTGCTGACTTGCAGTGTGAAAACTGTGGGTGATTGAGGCGGCTCTACTAGCCCGATGCCTCCCTGAATGCTCTTATATTGCACATCTGGTCCTTGAATAGTCTTGTTAGCTTTTTACTTTGTCAGAAGTTGTTCTGTAGCTCCTGCTTCAATTGCTGACACTTGTACCTGGGGGTTCATTGGAAGCTCAACCTAGCTGCACTTACGCCTTGTTGACTACAGCATGTAGGTTCATAATGTGCTATTTGCTTCACTTGTACATCACTGGACAAAAGCATCTGCTAAATACATAAATGTGTGCGTGTCTGTGTTGGCAGCTGGCTGCAGATGTGGCCCCCAGATTACTGGCAAAGCCTGGACCAAGCAGAGGGGCTGCAGTCTCTTATCCAGCACAACGAGTCAGACCCGGGGCTGCTGTGGCACTATATCCAGAAGCTGGCTGCAAGTAGGACTGGAGGCGTTTAGAGAAGAGCAGTGCGGACTGACTGAAATGGTGACGTGGGCTCATGTTTTAAGGCGAGGGGTCCGGCTGTTGTACCCTTGAGGAAGGTTGGCCAGCCAGTGCTTTGCCATGTATAGATGGAAGACCATAAGACTGGGTCAGGATTAACAGAATATCGTTTCCTGCAGAAATAAGGGAATGCTGGATTTGGGTTTGCACATATATAAGCTCACTAAAACTTTTTTCCAGGAATTAAAACTCAGGAAATTGCCTCTTTTATAGGGCACAATATTCCCACTGTGCTTAGTGTTTATCTGCAGATTGAAGTTGTTTACAATCGAATCTGGTGTACATCCCCACTGGTTTCACTTCCCACCATCACAGGTTTTGTACCATTTACCAAGTTTTGTATCGTTCTGTTTTAGTCACTCATTTTATTATAGATTGCACATGTCTGTATCTCCAACCCTTTTGTGGATTTTCATATAGTCTGTACATAAGCATTTAATATATATACAGTGGTACCTCGGTTCTCAAACTTAATCCGTTCCAGACTCTGGATCAAATCCTAAAAAGTTCGAGTTCTGATTGAATTTTCCCCATAAGAAATAATGGAAAACCAATTAATTGGTTCCCGGCCCCCCAAAATGACACCTAATTATGTTTGGTTTTTTTGTTTTGGTTTTTTTGTTTTTTAAAGCATTTAAACACAAAATGAACAGCATGAAACAAGAAGAGCATTTTTATCTTAATGGCTTCCAAAACGATAAAGATCTTATCCCAACATTACCCCTGTCCTACCACGATCGTCCGCTCCTTCCGTGTGCCACGCCTCCTCGTTAACCTCGTGTGGGATCCCCATGTGATCAGCTGTTTCTGGTTGTTGTCATTAGTCCTCTGTATTAAGTCCGCATTTCAGTTTGTTTCCCCAGTCCGGTCATTGGGTGCGTTCGACTTGCTTACAGCGCTGGCTTAAAACAACGCATTCTGATCCTGACGCAGTGCATTACGGTTAGATGCATTGCGACCTCTCACCCGGCTGCACAAACTGGAACCGCCTCCGTGACGACACACCTGACGTTTGTATCCCAGGCAGTTCCGATGCGTAATCTGCTATTTCTCCCAAATATCACGTAAAGCAATGAGAACTGGTTTTCAGTTAATTTACTTGGTAAAATAAAGTTTAAATAAATGACATAAATGCTCTAATAGTACACGTAAGTCAGTGGTTTATTTATTGTTAGTTACTGTAATGTTGCGCTGCTTTATTTGGTTAATCGTTCAGTCTGTGAAGAAGGCATTCAAGTAAGAATTGCATTGTAGTATGACTCATTTCCTGGCGTGTACAATTTATATTAGGTCAGCCTTCACGGTTCGACTTATGATATTCAGATTAAGTTCTAGGTCAAACTGGTTTGTTCGACTTTCAAGAAATTCGAGTTCTAGTGAGTTCGAGAACCGAGGTACACCTGTGTGTGTGTGTGTGTGTGTGTGTGTGTGTGTGTGTGTGTGTATACACACACACAGTAAATACACAGTTTAATAGTACATATTAAACTGTATTTTATTGTTTTTATAGAATTAAACAAAAAGGTGGTACATGTTTGTGGATTAGTTTATTGATAGTACACAAGCATAGTTATATTCTGCTAGATTTGACAATAACAATAAGGCACACATTAATGTATTATAGCACTACATTGTTCGATTAGTATAGTTCAAATATTGAAAAAATGCAACTCAATATGAAGTTGACGGGAGTGGTCAATGGTCAAAGGATATATGTCCTGTTCATATCAGTGGAAGTAACTTGATGCGATAGACCTCTATTCCTGAAGTATCAGTCTTACACAATAGCTCTATGGAAATTCAAACCATATAATATAACCAGCTGTAATGGTTCAATTCTCATAGTAATTTTCACATTAATCTATGTATTACTTTCAAGAATGTGGTAATGCATTAGAGAAAAATATGCCAAAGTATATTTCTTGCGTCACATCTGGCTTCTGACCCTCAGCTGCACCTTTTGTCTCTCTGGGAAAATGGGTGGGGGGGGGCAGTGTTAGTGTGTCATAGCTAGCGGTGGTGCTAAAGATATTTCCTGAAGATCACAAATCAGCATATCAAGTTTCAGTCGGTATTCATCCAAGCCAATTCAACATTTAAAACAATAAATGTTTCTGCATTGTTATATAATAGTTCACTGTTCCCTGCCAGTATGCTAGATGCTGAGTTAAGGACGTGGCAGCCAACACTATATAACATTTCAGGTTACAATGATGACCCGGGTTATCTCAGCTGAAGCTCCAGGCTTCTGTGACTACCTCACCTAGATGGTGTTGGCGTAGCAGCTCTCGCAGTGGACCACACCTTTGTGCAGGAACATGCTGTACAGCAGGTCTCCCATGGGCTTACCACACATGCCACACTGCAATATACCGTAGATGTCAGTAATGTCGACACACAACATCAAGAGAACACCACAAGTACACTATCCCCGAAATATGATGCCGTGCTGATCAGTGCCACCCCAACATCTTGACTCATCTATTATCTCATAGTGACAAAGACATAGCGACCTCAAAAGACTGCCCAAAGTATTTGTTACACCATTTGTGTAAAACTTCAATTGGTCAAATAAAGATTTAAATAATAGTATCACTACAGGAGTACCTAGAAATTCTGGGCCCCCTGACAAAATGCCACCCCTGGCCCAATTTTACATATCATTTTACGTATTCACCACCACCCCCCCGAATCTGCTAGGGAATCCATGCCCCTCCTGCACCCCTGATCAAAACTTTACCTTGAAGCAGGCTGGGTGGCAAGAGATGTTCAGGTGCTCAATGGTGATCTTGGCCTCACTGCCCACTGGCAGCCCACAGTATGTGCAGGCGCTCGATGTGCTGCAGACAGGAGGGTATTTGCATAGGTTTCATCAATAAACCATGCATGCTGAGTGCTCACGGAAATCCCTCACGTTAAATTGAGATAAGCGTTATGGGCATTAGAGATAAAATGCACTTTATATAATGAAGGCGTGTGTCAGTATTGCAGGCTTGTGAAGAAGCCCACCTGGAGATAGATGTAGGGCTGCTGTAGTTGTAACTGGAAACACTGGATGAAATATAGTCGCCGGAGAATCTGCAAGGTAAGAAGGTGCACAAGACCACGAATAAGACACCATGCCTTCTGCCTCAGCAACAGCAGATGACAGCAATGTCTAAATAACTTAAATTTAACTTCTTCAACAGCATCCAAAGCCTTCATAGTGTAGCAGATTCTCAAGATGCACTTACAGGTCGTTGTTGGAGATCCCTGTAGCCGGTTTCGTGTTGACGTATTCCTTCAGTAGCACAATACCCCTGAGTATGGGCGAAGGTACAGCCATTAGCCTGAAGCAGTGCCCGCTGGATGGGTTCTGAAGGTCAAAGGTCAACACATGCATCCACTAATCCTGACATGGTAGCAATGCCCCTCAACTTACTTCTTGGATTCAGTTTCCGAGGGGGTGGCTTTCTGGCTAGTGGCTTCAAAGGAGCTGTTTGGGACACACAAAAAATGTTTGGTAATATTTTACTCAAGGGAGCACAAGTAACTTAGTAACTCAGTTACTACTACACAAATAATGAACAAATATAGTAGCCGCATGAACTCTTTTGATTGCTTAATTATGAATGAACGTGGCATCAGTACATAATTAACACTTAGTTTCAGGTTAATTAATTAAGCAATCCCTTAAGTAAAGTTACACAATATTCTTCCAGTTACAATTAATATGAACGGAACTAAGACGTCTCAAATGACAGATCATCATAACACAATTATACAAAAACGAAACATTTCCCCATTATAATTTAAGCAATGAGATCAATATGATGTTCTATGCATTTCAAAATGTACTGAAAGACACTCATGCACTGCATAATGATGTTTCGGTCAACAGAGGACTGCATATACAATGGTCCCGTAAGATAATAACGGAGCTGAAAAATCCTGCCGCACATTTGTGGTGATGCTTGTGTAAACAACCCTATTGCATTGCCAGTTGTGTAGAAGTATAGTGCACACACAATTATGTACAGTATGTAATTCTCATTAATGATAACAGCTATGTTATAATGGTTTATGTATTTACTGTACTGTACTTTAATCATTAGTTTTGAGTGTAGTATTTTAACTTAGAAAGTATACTGTAGCCTGTGTAGCAAACTATAATATCTTGGTTTGCGTAAGTACACTATGACGTCCACATAACGACAAAATTCCCTAATAGTGCATTTCTCAGAAGATATTCCCATCGTTGAGTGATGCGTGACTCTCACAGTTCTGCATCCAGATTACATGTATTTCATTCGTGAAATAAAACAGAAAATCTGCTGTATGAAAACTTCCACTTGATTGATACATCTCTGGAGGAGTGACTGTCATTCTGATTTGAGAGCAGCCATAAATTAACTTAAACCCGAATGTGTCCTGTTACTTAACAAAAAGGAAAACCCAAAATTTGTTTCCACATATTCACCTTTTCACATTTTCACAAAACTCTCATACATACATATGTCTACTTCTTCACCTTTGCATTTGTCTGAATGTTTTCTTTATCTAAACCAGTTAGACCAGTCTTGTTGACCTATTTAAGGGTGTGTATTTAGGGAGAGGCAACTAGAAAATCTACAGTTATGACCAAACACAGTACATGTATAAGTTAGAAACCACGAGTGATTATGTATTCGTACTACAATGGCCATCGAGATGACGGCAACTTTACATAGTGTATCTCCAGACAGCTGCATCTATGAAGCCACACAGTTATTCCCAAGAACTGTAATATCTTTTCTGTACTAGAAAAAGCTGTACAGGCTTGATGGCATTTCCCATCAAGCTTTATGTCACACGATAAAACAACCATATAAAACAAGAACTACACACATAATGGATGTTTAACTCTCACAAACAATCAAAAGATGACTTTGACACAGGAATAGAGACTTACCTGTCCATTGGAGATGGTGACGGATTGTGTGGCTCACTGCAATGAAGAAGGCAGCAGAGGATTACACTAGCAGTCCAGGAGTAACGTGTAGGTACACCGTGAGCATATAAGTCTCTGCCCTGCCGTCTTTCTCTTATTAAGCCTCTTGCTTTTGCACTCCCACTTTCACAGAACCTGTGGTTAGTAACTGAGATGGCAATGTGACTTACGGCACACCAAGTCTCTCCTGATATTCCAGTCAGAGGCGTGTCCCTGCCCTAGTTTGCCACGGTTCTACTGTAACTGCATCTGTAAAGAACTGTTTCTCTCCCTGCCTATAGGTTCCTGTCCCAGTGTCACAGTCACGGTTGTACGGAGAAATTCTAGCCCCCCTGACAAAATGCCACTTTGGGGCCATATTTTATGTATAATTGTATGTATTCAAGGCCCCCTGCAAAGTGCTGCCGCCCCCTAAATCTTACAAGGAATTAATGCTCCTCCAACAAACTTGGTCATAGCATATCTGACCAATCACATATTATATACGTGTGTGTGTGTGTGTGTGTGTGTGTGTGTGTGTGTGTGTGTATATATATATATATATATATATATATATATATATATATATATATATATATTTCTTATACGGCTGTGAAACAAGAGCACTACCTCCTGTGTTGCCATGACATTTGGTGACTTTACCACATTTCACAACTTGAAATTCTATCCTACTGAATTATACTGTATGCTAAAGGAGTTTATTAGTGTTTCATACTTGTTGTCTGAATCATGAACTAATATGATGGGTGTTGTCTGCTTGTCACACGATGAATGGCAGTTTCTGGTATGCACGTGGACAAGCAAGTACACGGAAACTCTCTATCTCCTAACCCAGGGTTTCCCAACCCGGTCCTCAGGGACTTCCAGACAGTCCACACTTTTGGTCCCAGCCAGTGAAGAACACCAAATATCTGGTACCGATGTGGTGGAAGTTGGGAGGGAGCAAAAACATGGACTATCAGGGGGTTTCTGAGGACCGGGTTGGGAAACACTGTCCTAACCACTTATCCTAGTCAGGGTCACAAGGCGTCCTGCAGCCGATCCAGGTGGTAATCTGCATAGTACGCCTCAGAGCACACTGGCACAAACTCTGCCACCTTAGGGGATTATGCCAATTATGCTAACAATTTGGAGCATCTAGATCAGTGTTTTCTCAACCAGGTCCTCAGGGACTGCATGACAGTCTACATTTTTGGTGCCTCCCAGTTCTGAACACACCTATATCAGGCATTTACAGACATCCCAAGTCTCCCGGAAGTTCCGGGAGTCTCCCGCATATTGATAGCGGCTCCCTGATGCCCGCAAATTGAATAAAATGTCCCGGAAACTAGAGCAAGCACACAAGAGCATGCGCGCGAGACAGTAACGTGTCCATCACGCACTTGAGAAAATCGCGCGCACGATGGAATGCGTGCGTGCGTGCGTATGTATGGATCCCTGCGTGTGTGCCTGTTCATGTAGCCCGTGCTAGACAGACAGCATCATGATTGGTCTACTTAGCAAAATAAGCCAATCAGATTTCAGTGCGGGCGGGCTTTTATTTAACTTCTCGAGGACCGAAGTTATCGGTTCAGTGGAGCCTTCGAAATTTATTGTGCTGGCTAGAAAAAATTAATTAACAAAAAATTATACATATGGCCAATGTAGAAATTCTCTTGTGTGAAATAAAGTAATTTCCCTTCGGGGGGGGGGGACCTCCCTGAAATGAGTTTTTGCAGGTTGGGATGTCTGCATTTAGTGTTCTTGATTGGCTGGGACCCATGTGTGGAATGTCTAAGGGTCCCTGAGGACTGGGATGAGAAACGCTGACTTAGAGTGAAACCTATACAGGAAGAATATGCAGATACCACACATGCACAGAGCACAGGAGGGATGTGACCCCTCCAACCCTGAATGTTTGAGGCAACTATGCCATCCACAGGGTCACCTTGCTGCCCATTACATGAAAACTACAGTCAAGATTTCCTACAGAATACAGAAAAAAATGATTTAGCCAGACATATTGGACAACTATGAAAATTGATACCCTTTTTCACTGAACAAAAGTATCAGTCAATAGTTCATAGAGACTTTTGGCCTGAAGGATGCAGTTTCAACTATAGCCTACATCTTGAGTAATTTACTTAACATTTGACATTGTTTTACAGAAAGCATTCGCCTGTGTCTACAATTGTAATACACAAAGTTGTAGTTCATTTGAATAAAATTCTCTCTTAAGCATTAAAAAGAGCTGTTCAGGCTACAATATTACTAGCACCCCACCCGACTTTGAAGGAACCTACTTCAAGTGAAGGTCAAGGTGTTCCTTTGAACTGTGAGTTATTAATTATATAGTAAATAAATACAATTCTGTTTACTTATAAAAGTAGTGGTGTACAAAATTTCAGATAAATTTTTTATCACTGGGTTAAACAATGATGTCAACTGCATAATCCTTGAGGCTCTGAGGAAGAGAGTTGACTCACATTTTCTCCACTGTGATACTGAAATTTTCCTGGTCATCACAGAGGTCATTAAGGTCCTCCTCAAAGCTGAAAGGCGATGCAAAAAATAAATGACATCAACTGCAAGTTTATCAGGAGCACCATCTCCTTAGGGTTTAGTTGACTAGTCAATACCACACTCAGCTCCAGTCTTGCTTTGATATTCTGTTGTCTTCTGTTTAATTTCTGTTACCCTCAATAACATTCACTGCCCTGTGCTCCTAGATGAAACCAGGACTAATGGAACAGGTAAGATCTCACCTGTCCTCTGTTCTTTTCAATGGAGAAACTGGCGTTGTGGATCTAAAACACAGTATTTATTGATTATCATTCCAATAACATGTATGGTCTAAGTTTTCCCACAAAGGATAAATATTAATGCCAATGCCTTTACCTTTTGTTGGGGTCCACAGGAAAAGGGTCAAACAGATCCATGACACTGAACACAGAATAGTTTTTTAGTGGATGTTGGACTATGTCATCTAAGCATCTAAATTGCAATGTTTTGGAGAGTTCGTCCTCCATTGAACATATTTTACTGAAGAGTACCGAGTACTTATAAATAGCACTGTACATATAATTAAAGTGCACACACTAAATTAGTTTTTTTTAAAAAGCTGCATTTCTGACACAAAGCTGAAATATCTGGATCTTACATATATCCTGAACTTTAATCATCCAGCTGTCTTAATGTATGAAATTATAAACCACATTTGAAAAAAAACTATGCAAATTACAATAAACTAACTGTGAGATGGTTTTACTTGACACTGTTGATTTTTCACTGCAAACGGGACTGGGTGCAGATGCTGCCTCACCTGATATCACTGGATTTGGGTGGTTCTTTAAGAGGACTGGGATCTGTGGAGCTGAGATACAAACAATACTATCTATTAGAATGAAAATGAAAATAAATCAGACTATTGATATATATTACTTAAGCCATAATTGTAACACAATTTTTTCAGTATCATGTAGAGCATACACTTATTATACATAAACACACCTGGCACCCAATAATGTAATAATTTCCAGTAATGTAATAACTGCTAATAATACCAATACCAATTATGTACAAAAATTTCTGAATCAGAAACATATTACATTATTGGCCAGTTATTGACTTTTATTACATTAAGAATGGAAATATTATTACATTACTGGCTTTTACAATGTATTTCCATCATATTTGTCTAAACATGGAGTAAATTACAGCCTTTAAATAATTACATGATTTTTGTGACAGATGTGGTCACTGTCTGTGTGCTGGAAGGACCTTCTCTGGCTTTCTGCTCTGTGCCTCTAAAGGTGACATCAGAAACAAACAGGCCTCAGTATCAGTCTCAGCTTCAGAACCAGATATGTACTCACAGTCTCCAAATCTCAGATACAGAATACTGATGAAATCACTGCTCACTCTCAAACAAACATCAACAGCCAAACCAGAATAGGAAAGGACGTGCAAAGGATACTTCTCTGTCTTATCAGCTATAGTTCAATGTTTCCCAATCCAGTCCTTGGGAACTCACAGATAGTCCACATTTTTGCTCCCTCCCAGCTCCCTAGTTAAATGTTTCCCAGTCCAGTCCTTGGGCACTCAAGCAAATTGAATAAAATTCTTAAGTCCATGATTTTGCTCCCTCCCAAACAGTCCACATTTTTGCTCCCTTCCAGCTCCCTGCCAGACAGTCCACATTTTTGCTCCATCTCAGCTCCCTACCTGGGAGGGAGCAAAAATGTGGACTGTCTGGCAGGGAGCTGGAAGGGAGCAAAAATGTGGACTGTTTGGGAGGGAGCAAAATCATGGACCGTCTGCAGGTCGCCAAGGACTGGAATGGGAAACACTGAGCTACACAATGTCATATGTAGGCTGCAGAAGTAAATACATATCATGGCGACAGATAAATGAGAATAGGATTTTTGACATATGTTGTCAAAGTGAGGACCAGTGTGTTTTGTGTTGATGTTGTTGTTGTCATAGTGGACTTGGTGGGACTGAGAGAACAGCAGAAAGAGGAAATCATTCCTCCTGGACGCTTTAAAGTTCCATGAAAAGCAGAGACAAAACATTGAGGTTTTTACCTCTGGGTAGTAATGGGTTCCTTGGCTTTGGCTGAGTCACTGCTGCTGAGGTAGGAAATGCAAGATGTGAGACAGGAAGATGGCAAGTGGCAGAGAAACATTAATGAGAACAAAGTTAATTCAGCTTTATTGTTCTTTTTCTGGGGTGACATGGTGGTGCAGTGGTTAGCACTGTTGCCTTACACCTCTGGGACCTGGGTTCAAATCTCCGCCTGGGTTCCATGTGTGTGGAGTTTGCATGTTCTCCCCGTGTCGTCGTGGGGTTTCCTTCCGGCACTCCGGTTTCCCCCCACAGTCCAAAGACATACTGAGGCTAATTGGAGTTACTAAATTGCCCGTAGGTGTACATGTGTGAGTGAATGGTGTGTGAGTGTGCCCTGCAATGGGCTGGCCTCCTGTCCAGGGTTGTTCCCTGCCTCGTGCCCTTTCCTTCCGGGATAGGCTCCAGACCCCTTGCGACCCAGTAGGATAAGTGGGTTGGAAGATGGATGGATGTTCTTTTTCTCACACTTACCTGATGGATTTAATGCCGAATGGGATGACATCATCAGCCAGCGTGTCCAATGAGATGCTTGTTTTCTGATCTATCTGAGTCTTATGGCTGATGGTAAAAGAGAATATATCTTTGACACTTTTTTACCCTTATTTAAATGTACTTAACACCATACTTAACAGCATTATTCATATGTGTAAATTTTTACAAATGCTGTTTCTGTTCACATGCATTCCACAATGCTCGTCATAGATTCTTAGTATGAGACATTAGCTCTCAAAATGTTACTGTATCGGCATGTTTTTGGCAAGCACAAGACCAACCTACCTCTCAGGTACACTGGGAAGGGGGTCTAAAAACTTTTCCCCACTGCCGGAGACAGGGAGCAAAGCAGTGTTAAGCAAATACACAAAATCACAGTGTAAAGCGTAAAAATTCTGACTCGAAGTATGTGTAGAATGCAAAACCCACACTGCTCACTAAAACGAAGAACTGCCGCTACTGCTATATATACATATAATAATGAATGGTACTTTATTTAAACAAACCTTTCAGCCAGAGAGATGAGGTCCTGATTGTCTAAGTTTTTCCTGGGCTTTGGGGCTTGTTCAGCTTTAGCAGGTGAACTGCAGTAAGGAGACGGAAAATTATCATACAGAGCTACAGGATGGCTTAAAGCCTTAAGCTAAAAGAGATCATGCATGTGCAGTGCCTGCATTCTCAATGCACGCTACTCGTTTGTGAGAAGTACACAACTACAACATTAACACCACACACACTACTGACACATAGTCACATGATCCACGAATTGGCGTGGGGCCTTTTGTTGCTGCAGGATTTTCTCTAAAAGAAATGTTTGTGATGTAGTTTTGATGCAGTTTCAGCACGATAGCAGCCGGTGCTCACGTAAAACCTGCTGTTGTCACGTGCATTTTGTTAATCTTGCATCTCTGTGTTGCCCTACCTTGGACCTATATCATGAAGCTAGATTTTACTGGTTTAGCAAGAGAACTTCTTGGATTTAAGGTAGTCTGGGGAAAATGTAAGTGAACAAAGATGAAGTCCATTTCAACTGGGACACCTTAAATCCGAGTTATCCAGCTAACCAAGAAATTGTGTTTCAAGATGCAGGCTCCTGGTGTTAATTGTATTTTTGTTTTTCTGTTCCAGGACTAACTTAGCATCAAAAAACACAGTTTGTAGCTACAGGAGATTGCAGAAACGGCAGGAAAATTACTGAGCTGCAGGAAGGTAAAACAAATTATAGTTATAATCATAGTTCAAAATGAAAGGGGAGTCTAGGACCGTCAATAAGAAAGAAAACTGAACGCCATTGTAGTTCATCATGCTTTTTAGGGGACCTGCAAAAATCAGTGGTCATAATAATGAATGTATGTTCGTACCAGGCCTTAACTGCTGGGGTCTCTGTCTTTTTCAGGTCTTCAACCGGTTTAGCATCTTTAGAGGTGCTGGCAGAAAAAAAACAAAATTAGTAATTATTAATTAAATGATTATTCTAATGGTAATTATCAGCGGTGTTTATGGAAGGGCCAGGAGACGGTCATATGGTGTCCTGCAAAAGTAGAGAAATGAAGTGTGGCAGGACCGTAGGTGGTCATGCCATGAGAGGGGCTTGTATCCTACCTGGTGGGGACGACCGGGGCAGGAACAACAGCTGGGGGCACTTTGGGCATTTCCACTGAGCTGTAAGACAGTACGATAAATGCAGAGTGATTAATACTAACCAGCACATTTCATGCTCTCGCTTATCCAGGCAGCGCGGATTGTAGACGCCCTCTGTGTGCTGTTACAGACTGACTGGCCTCACATTTTATATATCATTACCTGCTCTTAACAGCAGGGGTCTCGGTTTTCTGTTCCACGACTGGCTTAGACTCTTTGGGGCTGTGAATAAGTATTAAATTGATTAGCAGTGATCTGCAGTTAATCAAGAAAACATATGAGATGTGAAATTTGTGAATATATGAGAGGGGTAATTATTCTACCTGGTGGAGACGACAGGGGCAGGAGCAGAAGGAGGGGGCACTTTCGGTGTCTCCACCGAGCTGCAGGAGGGTAAAACAAATCCAGCAGAACTGTTACAATCACAGATGAAAATGAGAGGGGAGTCTAGGACCCCCCAGTAAGAAAGAACACTGAATGCCATTTTTGGGACCCCCAGAAATCATTGGCCACTTTGAGCAGTGGTTGTAATTATGAATGTATTACAGCTAATGACTTTTCTAATCCTCTCCTGGAGCCGACACCTTATCGTGGTGGGGGGGTTTGCGTGTTCCAATGATCCCAGGAGCTAAGTTGCCCGGGGCTTTATGCCACTGGTAGGGTCACCCAAGGCAAACAGGTCCTGGGTGAGGAACCAGACGAAGTGCAGCTCACAAGACCCCTAATGATGAACAAAATATTGGATCCACGATTTCCCTTGCCCGGATACGGGTCACCGCCCCCTGGAGCCAGGCCTGGCGGTGGGGCTCGATGGCGAGTGCCTGGTGGCCAGACCTGCACCCATGGGGCCTGGTCGGGCACAGCCTGAAGGAGGCACATGGGTCCCCCCTCAAATGGGCTCACCACCTGTAAGAGGGGCCATGGGGGTCGGGTGCAGTGTGAGCTGGGCAGTGGCCGAAGGCGGAGACCTTGGAGGTCCGATCCTCGGCTGCAGAAGCTAGCTCTAGGGACATGGAATGTCACCTCTCTGGTGGGGAAGGAGCCTGAGCTGGTGCGCGAGGCTGTGAGGTTCCGACTAGATGTAGTCGGGCTCGCCTCGACGCACGGCTTGGGCTCTGGAACCAATCTCCTCGAAGGAACCTTCTTCCACTCTGGAGTTGCTCACGGGGAGAGGCGCCAAACTGGGGTGGGCATACTTATTGCCCCCTGGCTGGACCCTGTACATTGGGGTTTACCGCGGTGGATGAGAGGGTAGCCTCTCTCGGGCCATGTTCCGCGCCTCCATTGTGGCGGCGGCTGAAAAGAGCTGTAGCCATAAGGTGGTCGGTGCTTGTCATGGCGGCAATCCCCAAACTCGCTGGTGGACACCGGCGGTGAGGGATGCCGTCAAGCTGAAGAAGGAGTCCTATCAGGCCTTTTTGGCCTGTGGGACTCCGGAAGCAGATGATGAGTACCAGCGGGCCGAGCGGAACGCGGCTTCGGCGGTCGCTGAGGCAAGAACTCGGTTATGGGAGGAGTTTGGCGGGGCCACGGAGAATCGCTTCCGGGCAGCTTCGAGGAGATTCTAGTCCACCATCCGGCGTCTCAGGGTGGGAAAGCGGTGCAG